TGTGATAGAGACTGCGATCGTCTCTAGAAGTTGGAATCCGCGTGGTATGACGAGTGACCAGGATAAGTTTTTTCGAAGTCCTTCCATGCCGGCAGCGAGAGTGGGAAAGGCGGCTCCTTCACCCGGCACGGTATCGGAGCAGTTCTATCAAATCGATCGCTGCTTCAAAGACGAGGCGTATCAAGAGGCTAGCAGGACTGCTAAACAAAGTAGAGTACTGGCTTGTCGAAGGGCGGTTCATCGGTTGTTGTTATCTTTAGTATTGAGCAAACAACCTGAGAATACGCAGGCTGTGATGTGTTACTTGTAATAGGAGGGTGAATATGAAACTCGACGTTATGGACTCAGATCACGTTAGCATGATTGTTGCCCTTGGAATAGGTATAGCCAGATTCAGTTGTCGCAGTGGAAGAATTGCCTCAACTTTATGGACTCAAAGAGCACCGGGGCTCTAGACAAGTGTACTATTGGGAGATGAGCGAATCCCTCTTCATTTTGGTCGCCTCTAGACTGGTGTTATGTAGTCAGCACTGCCATGAGCATTTCTCACATAGGTACGTTGGAGGATCGAGCCACGTTAAGTTACTATCGAGCCTATTGCCTTTATCGCCTCAACAGGGAGGGGGTATCATACATAGTGCAGTAGGAAGAGAGCATGCGACCTTCCTCAGGAGTGTTTGGAGGAGATATCGAGAAATGGTGACAGCAATTCCGAGAAGTGGCAGGTGTTGGAAGCTCAGTGTCGCTATCGACTCCATCAGTAAGTACACATTTACTGCTAGTAGTAGAGTGGACCTGAGGACCGGCAGATACTCGAAAACTACAGAGCTTTACCAGAAACTACTCGCCGACGCTGAAAATGGATCCAATGGGGAAGACTCTGAATCCGCTTTGTTACTATCGGTAAGTATATTACCATTGCTCTTCCGTTCGAGTTGAGGTATAGATAAATCTACTGGCAAGTTGTGTATCTGGGGGCAGCACTGACGACTTGGATAAGCTGATGAAGGATCTCGGCGAACCTGAGGATGCCTATGAGGTTGGACTTATACTGCATCGACGACTTGTGGAAAATCTTTCTATTTCAGCTGGCTTACAATCTGGCATGTGCTTATCTTCTCAAGAAGGACTATGTGAAGGCCGAGGACATGCTCGTAATCATGTTAGTCGTAGTTTGTTGGAACTCTGATTCTGTTGCAGGTCTTGGCCTCGTCCCTCTGCAAGGGCGAGCTTGATATCGATACGGACTCGGACCCTGAGCTCAACTGGATCAAAGCTCAACTTGGGTACGACTGTTAAGGATCTTCATATTTGATTATGGTGTATATTCATAGTTACCTTCGTCAACTACAGGGGCGGACCGGTGAGGCTGCAGAGTAGGGTTCGCGTTGAATGGTAGTTGGTTGTGCATCCGTCTGCTTTGATAGGATATACGAGAAAATAATGCGACCTGTAATAGGAGGCATGAAGAACGATATCTCGGTTATGGCAACTGCATGCAACAATCTTGGTAGCACTGGGAAAGGAAAAAGGACTCGCCTGAAATGCTGTTGTTAGTGACCTTAAGACCGAAGGGCAGTTCACTTTTCGACGCCCTCAAGAGGGTTCGACTCGCCAGTAAAGCTGAGTCCCTCGAGAGCAAGCTCACGGCCGGTCAGTTGAAGACCTTGGGTCTCAATAAGAGCATCGTGAGGAACACTACTACTGTGGCTGACTGTCCATGGTTTCCTTTTGCCAGGCTTTATCGTCGCGGTCGAAGATTTCCGAGGCTCGAGCAGTACTATCACAGCTAGAGGCACAGCTAGGGGATAGTTTCACTCGCAGCGGTACTGCGGCTGTGTGCAGAGCTGTTATACAGTATGCTAGCGGAGTAAAGGAGGAGGCGGTAGGTCTCATCAGTGTGCCTGGGAAATGCTCCATCTGGAATCTTCCAGGTCGACACTTTGAAGTCCTGGCTGGCCTCGAACAGCTCTTCAGAGGATTCCACATTTGTGCGTTTGTCTTTGGCCGGTCTCCTCGCTGAATCACCAGCGACCAGGTCAGAGGCTGCCAACTTGCTGAGTGCCCTCGGTCCCGAGGTAAGGATGGATAGTATCTCTAGTGTATGGATGGTCACACTTCAGATTAGTATGGGAAGGCCAGAAGCAGTAAGGCAGAGGTTCGGTGCTCACAGTGGCGACACGGCCGAGGACCGCGCTGCGTTGAGAAATGAGATCACCGAAGTGAATCACACCTGTCTGTTGTTGCCTTGGAGGAGTTGTATGGTCTCAGGTGCTGAACTTTTGGGAGAAACGATCGTCGGGAGATGCAGCTGCGGTTTTGAGGTGAGGCTTTCGATGTCCTTGGAGGCGCCTCGGGGTTGTCCTTCGCATCAACACCGGATTTACGATCGGTCCTGAAACATCGACGAACCCTCCTGACAAGTATAACGCTGATGAAAACTATTCTATAGACACTGAAAGTCGCTGATTCATCGGGAGTCGGCAGGACGCCTCTGGAACCGCCGAGCTGGTCGCACTTCAGCGTGCCAGATTTACGTATGCACCCGAACATTGTCTATGCTGATAGGTATGTTGCTGATGTTGCCACTCGTAACAAGTTCTATGAGGAAGCTGTACGGACGTGGGAACTGTATGGCAGCAAAGTTGGAGACACCGGGGCGGTCGAGGCGGTCCAAGGACTGGTAGGGGCACGGACGGTAATACAAGCACTGTTATCGGTAGGGGTTTCAGGTAGCAGCTATCTCACGTGTGGACGCCCCGAGCTCAGAGAGTTTGAGTAATGCTTCTATGTTGGTGGAGCGACTGGTGCAAAGGTAGGGGTATGAGCTCTCTGTTGAGTTCAACTTCCCCGAGTAGATCATCTGAAGCAGAAGCAATAGAGGATGCTATAGATGATGTGGACCCTGAGGAGTTGGAGGGCATGGACGTTAGCATGGGGAGCTGGAAGGTGGCAGCTACAGCTCCTACAGCAGCAGTCGAGGGAGAGAATGTCGAGGTGATACTGGGCATCACTCGTGTTGGAAAATATGTCCGCTTTCCTTTGCTAAGTCTAGGAATTCCCTCGCTAATGATCGGAGTTTATATACGGTTTCGGGTAGAAGTGTACAGAAACCAATGAGAATTTCTCAAAAAGAATTCTCAGAATTTTCATATTATCACCAATACATGTAGTTGAGCACGCTGCATATCTTGGATTTGCTATTGGATAGGTTAAGAAGCGACACCGTAAGCGGAAGCCTCGCTACCCTAAGGGCTTCGATCCGGAGAACCCGTCAGCATTCAAGAAACCAGACCCTGAGAGGTAGGGTGGAGTTGGAGGCCTGATGACCGAGATGGTCTATAGGTGGTTACCGAAACATGAACGTTCTGACTACCGTAGGAAGATGAAGAAGAAGCAAATGCAGTTGATGCGTGGTCCTCAGGGTACGGACTCTTGTCGTGATTACATTCACCAGTTCTTCCATGTGGTAGGTGTGGTCCCTACTGAAGGTGAGCATGTGAAGACCGGCCCGAGCACGGCCCAGCTGGAGGCGTCTACGGAGAGGCAGACCCAACATCAGAAGAGACGGAAGAACCAGCGCAAGCGCAAGTGATGATGACTACTGCTGCTGTGGTTGTTGTTGTTGACTTTTGGTATCCATTCAACCTCCCTCCTGTGTTTCCCTCGTATCGTGTTGAGGGTTGTAGTATGTAAATATTGGGAACCTGTGGAGGATGGGGGAGATGAGAGTAACTAGACCTACTACCAGTCGTCCGTGCTTCGCAGGCCTGCGAGAAGTAAGAGTGACGTTTCTCTTCCGATTGCATCATGCATCAATGATGAGTATTGCTTGGTCGTTTAGCTCAGTCGGTTAGAGCATCGTGCTAATAACGCAGGGGTCGCAGGTTCGAGGGCGGAGGCATCATAATACAAGAGGCAT